GATTTGTTCACGTCTTTAAAAATGCAGCCTTTGTTAAGTTGCTAAGAGAGTTGGGACACTTGTTGGCAAAGACCAGACCCCTGCTGGCAGCTGAAAGCCCCCCTGCTTAGCTGAGAGTTAAACACACCTCCACCGAACTTAACATTTATACACAGTAACAAATCCACGGTCTAAATCTCCTCCACATGAAGACCACACGTCTTGTTAAGGTTGAGGGGCATTCACAGATGTACAGTGAGACCCCCCCTCACACACACACACACACCAACAGCCACACAAACACACACTTGACAGGAAAAACAACAGGACTTGGTGGCAGAAGGAGCAGCTGCTCACTGAGGTCAGATTACAGATAAAGAAAACATTTTAGGTTCCAGGCCAGGAAAGCTGCTCTCTGACAAGAGCTGGAAATGCTGCCTTATTTCTCCTGACACACAGAAACGCACACTGATGCATTTACAGAAAATGCACGTTCAACCGTATTACTGCCGCTCAACTCAGAGGATAAACTGAAGGCGATGAGCTGGCCAGAGTGTCTGCCTGTCTGCTCAAAGTTTGCCGCCGACACCAATGCCTTCCCTCAGACTCATGAAAGCACGAGCCCCATCTCCAAAAAATCAGAGTCACCACCCTCCCCTCTCTCTCCTGTGTCTGTGTTTGGCCCTAATAAATTCTCTCCAGCTCCTCCAATAACTTCCTCCTACTTCCTATCTGGCACGGCGCTCAGGAAACAATCAGAGCTGAGAGTGAGAGGAGGGCTGGACAGCCAACTGCTCACACGGCAAGAGGCAGAAAGAGAGGCAGAGGGAAAAGTTGAGACAAACACACACACACACACACACCACATGCACCCCTTGTCAAGTCAAACATTTGCAGTTTGATACCAGCTGCATGCCCAAGAAAAACAATAAGAGAATACTGTCTCGCATGCAAGACTGGAAATGTGTGAAAATGATCTGAGCTGGAAGAGTCGGACATGCATTTTTCAAACATTTACACCATAAAACTCACCACACTCAACTGATTCTTATTTGTTGTTTTCTTGTAAACAAATCACGCAGCATGGAAACAGGCTAACTCACTCTGAGGTAAGAGTCACTGAGAGACGGATAAATGAGTATGACACATCAAGCCAGAACATGAACATAAGGTCGTATTCATTCATTCATTGTTCTATTTTAACACTGGATGCTGCTGCCTATGTGGTCTACCTTGAATTGTAACACTTTCAGAGAATTAAGCCTGAATCCAGCTGAAGAGGGAAAGACTGACACAAAACAGGGCAAGCGCCAGAGAGCTTTTTTTTTACAGCCTGAATCAGCATTTTAATCGGAAATTTTCCAGGGAACGCAGCGGAGAAGCCATTCTAGCCTGAATTGGTCATTTTGTGGTGAGGGGAGCGGTTTAAAGCCATAATCTGTGAAACCTTTAAGACATGCATAACTTTGCAGCAGAATGCACCAGCCAATAACTCATCTAACCATATAAATTGTGGAACAAGGCATTAAAAGCAGCCATGGCTTTGATCAGGGCTGTATAGAGGGGATTTTCACAAGGAAAAACTATGATTAGACAAAAGACAAAACTGAACCAGGGACAAAACTTGTAGCTCAATTAATGTGTGTACATATACTCATAAAGGCCCGATCGCCCTCAAAATCACCCGAACACCTGTATTGTTTTATACCAGGAGCAACCAAAGCGAGTAAGTCTGTGCTGCAGAAGGAGATCATCCCCCAACCTAAAACACTCAGAGCGCAGGGATTAAAGGGGTTTCACATGAGTGCCCTTGGGTCACTGGAGCTCCAGTGCGACACACAGGCCTCACACACACACGTCGCTGAAACACCAGACAAGCCCAGTGTGAGAGTGAGCCTCCTGTTATCTAGAATGGAGGCTGGAGGAGTCACAGATACTGGCACACATAACCCAACAGACATTTTTTTTTTTTATGACCTCTTCCTCTTCAGAGTACATTTATGTGGAACGTCACTCCTAACAGTTGGTTGCCGGAGAAAGAACAACTGAAACGTTTAGCAACTTGGGGACAGCTGACACAAAGACTATACTGTTCTAGGCCACTCCCTGGCTCCTCCCCTGAGTGGTCCGAATAGGAGGCCAGGAAGCTTATCTGTTAAAACCTCATGGTTTGGAGGATATGTAAACATGTGCAGTGCATTAACGTGAATACAATGTTGATAAATTGTGTTACTGGGGACTTTGAGAGTAAAGTAACTGGTATATTTTTAACAATAACATTTGATTACTTTGGTTGGTGTTAGAGCATGTGACGCTTGAAATTTTGCATTTATTTCTTTTGTTGTATCACTGTGATAAATAGCTCAAAACACAACACGCTCTTCATCAGCACAAGTCTTTAACCCAACCGCTGCTAGTTGGACAGCACATTGTATTCCAGATTGTCATTAATGCCCTTCTGCTGAGAGCTGCAGGCTTTTCTCTGAGGCCCTCTGTGTGCTTACCACGCAGACATAAGTGGTATTTGTTCAGATCTGGGTTGACAGAGGGGCAAGTGTCCACCATTTGGACGAGCAATTCTGGGGATGGTGCTAAAAAGCAAACCAACGTCTGCACAAATGGGCAAAAGCTCATTAGCCCTTCTCCTGTGGGTTTAACACAAACGGGTGAAGCTGCCGCTGACAAACGGTCAACAGACCTGCACCCAAGAATACACTCGGCAGAGCGAAGAAAGGATGCACTTCAGCTCTGGAATCAGCCACAAATGATTTGAAATGCCTACAGTGTCTCCACAGTTTCTGATTAAACGTATGTTTTAAAAATCAAAACCATCAGAGGGACTACAGACTGTTTTAACCCTCATGAAGTGAACACATGCTCATTAACTCTTCCCTCTGATAAACGGCCCCAAGGAACACAGCTGGGGAGTAAAAAGAGAGAAAACAGCCACTTTAAGAGAATATTACCCCAAGCAATCTAATTGACCTCCACGACATGGGTGAAGTTGTAAAACTTTCCCCTCACATTTAACTCTCACACAAGCACACAGTGTAGCGTACATGCTAAATCCACAACGGCTGAGAAACATAAAGTATGTTCAAGGAAAAAAAAGACCACATTGTACATTGGGAGGCCTGATGCATTCATGCTGCATAAAAACAATGAAGGGGGAATCTGTCGGAGCAGCAGAATGCTTAATCCTTTCCAGATTTACCCATCAGCATCTAAATCTATTATTAGGCATCTTGGCGTGTCTCATTTACCAAGGACACATTGTTTGGTTGTACTGGTTGGTCGTTTCATTTTCAGAACATCATTTCCACATGTTAATAGAAAGTAGTTCTTAGGAAGAGTTCAAACTGTCGATTTAGCTGAACCATGACCTGACACAACCAACAGGAAGAGAAAACTTGACATACATTATTTGATTATCTTCTGTATCAGTGTTGCATCAAAAGATTGTTGTGTCGAGCAGACACTGCATTGCATGACTTCAAAGACCCCCCCCCCAACCAAAAGCCTGTCGTATTTAAATTCACACCCATAGATTAAAGACTGAGCAGTAAAAACGGTTGCCCTGTTTCAGAGCTTGTTTCCCCCGCAAACTTGGAGAAAATATAAAAAAATATAGATATTGTAAAAAATATTAAATTTTATAACTTAAACAAATACTTGACATACAGAAACTTGACTTGAAATAGTATGAGACAGACAACAGACAAAAAGAACTGTTAACAGGTTATTCTGCTTACTGTGACCAACCTGACAGACTGCATTCTGTTGTTTAGTCAAACCTGTTGACTGGCAGTGATTTAACTCTGCAGCTCATATGACTGTACAAATTTAGCATGAAGGAGGTGCTAACATGTCCTTTTTACATTTTGTAATCAGCTAAAACAAAAAAAAGAGTTTACCCGAGCCAGAAATAACAACACAGACTGAGAGCAGGTGTAGCCTGAGGTGGCCTGCATATAATTATACAATTAGCTCCCATACTATCCATGCATCTCAAATCCTCACCTGTGAATTATGTACTTAGTGGGACTTTGCAGAGTATCATCACATGCCTGTTTGTTGGCACAGAAGAAAGAAGTAAATAGGAAAGAACGTAAAGAAAGATGGTTTCTATTTATTTTAAAAATTAGATTAGATAGATAGATAGATAGATAGATAGATAGATAGATATTCATAATTTTGTTTAAAATTCTAAATATAAATGATAATATGGCGTAATTATGAGCAAAAGAAAAGTTATTATAAATGTAAAAATCAAGATACTATTTATCCATGCCACTGGGATTATGTTTTGTGCCTAATTCTAGGTGCGCACTCAACACAAACCCCAGTTCTTTCTACACAGATTGTATCTGCAATCTAAAGTAGTCACTTCTTTCTTATGGGTTCAGAATTTCTTCTAAATGGACAAAAGTTTTTTAAAAAAAGAAATAAAATCACGCAGCCTTTTTTTGTGATAATAAATAATGCAGAAGGTTTGCTATTAATAAATAAAACCTAAAAGGCATAATAGCAATAATGTAACAGAAGTGTAGTTACATCTGTTTATATATATATATAGTTGTTTATCTCCATGTACATGTTGTGTGTTCATAAATAAAGTCTTTTTTTATTAAAAAGTGAAGATCAGATTTGTGAAAAAAGTATTGATTGCTAATCTAAAACTGTGTGCAAACAATGGTAAAATTAGAATATTCTTAACTAATAAGTGTCTTAATAAACATGTCTCTCTTTAAAAGAGATCAAAATGTAGTGAAAATTGGAAATGTATGTTCTACTTACTAGACTGAAATTCTATCATTGCAAGAGAAAAACTTAAGAAAAAGTACATGTAGCCCACTCTTGACACAGAGATTATTTCACGAGAATTGTATTTCTTTCCTTAAACAAACAAACTGTTTTGTATTTTTCCTGTTTTGTCTAACAAATTCACGCCTAGTGTTGGACGGGCAAGAGTGCGTGGCTTCATTTGACTATGCTGACAAATCAAGAACTTCTTCTCTTACCTTTGGGATGCAGAGGTCCAAACCAGACTGAAGTTGTGTATTCCTCCAAATCGTTTTTTGTTTGTCTCTCTCTCTACGCCTGTACGTATAACTGTTGGATTCCTCTTGAGGAACGAGGCTGGATCCAGGTAGGAACTGTGCGAGACAGAAAACAAACATATTGGCCCACTTCTCTGCTGTCAAGAGAAAGGCTTTTGGGTTTTTTTTTCTTTTCTTTTTTGTAATAGTGTGTGTCAATGAGCGGGCTACCGGTGGAAATATGATTGTACAGAGCCTGTCAAAGATATCCCTGCACACTGGAAAGTCAAACACAATAGACTATCAATCTGCAAATGTTTTCTTCCCTCCCAACGCGAGGAGCTCCACGGAAAAATGTAAAAAATGACAATGATCTGAAAACTTCACCGAGACAAGCGGCATGAAAAAACTCCCCAGAAAAAGGAGCTCTAAACAGAAAGAAGGAACATTACTGCAGAACTTACCTTTTTTTTATTATTATTCTGGCAGTCACCTTCTTCTTCTCAATGAGAGCAGCTGTTCAGTTTACTTAGTTTGTTATAATTTGGCGCCTTGTTGTTTTCCGTAATATTTCTCAGAGGTTTGACAGTATAAGTGGAATGTTAAGTATGACTTTGGTATGAAATCAACGCACTACACTGGAAAACGAAGGGGGAGGGAAAAAAAGGACTTTCAAGGAGGAGCCATTGGTGCGCGTCAATCAACAAGCTTGGGGGGCAGTGACTTCACTCCAGGCTCCGCCCACCAAATCCTGCACACTGAGCTTCAGCTTCCTGTCCTGAAAAAACAGTCTCACACATGCACCAATATATCCCCATTAGATTTAGAAATGTAAAAAAAAAAAAAGTATATATATTTTTATTTATATTTTTATATTTTTTTTTACACTGTGCAGCCAAACGTTTGTTCATACTTCCCCAAATATGTCAGGCTGAATTTGGGAAGACTGTGTAAGAAATGCAATGGTGGGAGAACTGAAATAAAGTATTAATAACACAGTGTTCTACTATCAATGATGTCCACAAGGCCAGGGCTAAAGTTGCCTCACATTGTGCAATATGTTTTCATTTTATCACATGGACCACTCTTTGCTGGCTAGCTGGTTTACATAAGCAGCAGGCTACATGCAAGATTCTGTAGCCTGTAGCGTCATATAAGGCAATATTGTATGATGCATGATGCACATGTAACAAGCTGGGCATTGTTCTGAAGCATAAGTGGAGATTTTTATTCACAAGGCATCCCATTCATTTTCAGGTTATAGCAACAGCCCCTCAAAATGTCTGCACGTCCCTGATTACCATTACAAGTACACTTAAGTAAAGGTTCAGAGGTATTATCAACAAAGTTTATTATGCAGAACTTATATATGATTATACATATATAATGTGTATATAATATAAAACAAAATAAATAACATAAATGTAAAATATATATGATACTAGGTTATTTGTATTGATGCATATACTGCAGCCAGTCAACATGAAGTTAATTTTAGTTACTTTACATTTTACTGGTTAGTTTAATCCGTAACACATTTCATATGTTTTGTATGAGTTTACTTTAGGACATATATATAAATATTACATATACTGTAATTTAGTTGTATTGGGTATATTTGTGTAGCCTCGCTGCTGTAATTATACACTTGTGTAGTAAGTTTGTGTTTTGAAATAGTAAATCAAAACTTCAGTTGGATGAATACTAAGTTAGTTATTAAACAAAAAAAAAATCTGCCAATCAGACATGATCAGACTTTGAATAACTGAAACAAAAAATAAAATAAAAAAACATGTGCCCACTACTATTGCTTTTTTCCTTCTGTTAGTGCTAATTTATTGGAGAAAAATCTTTTAACTATTGAGAATGGGCATATCACTATAAACAATGTGAACCTTGAACAAATTTCCTTCCAGCAACAGCTCCTTCTGTTGGTCAACAACATGGTTGCAACATGTTAACAGTATTTATTTATCCAACACTGAGACACAAAAGCAGAGAATATGCAGATGGTGTAAAAACAACTCACTTATAAATACACTAATTCTATTAGCATTTAAGAATGACAACACTAGTCTTTGCTGGTTGTTTACCTGGAAGTCACGTAACAGAAAAAGACAATAGGAGAGTGGGCGAGGAAGAACTCACCTTACTGCATCTGTCCAGAAGAGCTGCCAGCTTCAGGCTTCATTTAATCTGCGAGTTTGGACAACTGCCTGAGCAGGTTCAGGCAGAATACACACCTCACACTTACTCTCGAGGCCCTCGGCTCAAACAGGTTTTTCATCCTGAGCAAGGCTCCCTTTAACATGTTAGGCAACTACTGGAAAACAGTGTGGGTGTCTCTTAAAACTTGCAACTAGAAAAAATCTTTCTGATTATCTGTCAGCTGCCAGCTCATACAGTATAGGGCTTCAAAGAGGGACTTACTCTTTGTAAAGTAGTTTGTCATTTCAAGAGTAGGATAGTGACAGTAGAGACACAGACAGGACATGCAAGGAGAGAGGGGGGCAGAGTGAAATGCATGTTGGTGTTATATATTCACCACATGGCTACTGGACACCCAAAAACCATGAATTATTGGAATATTGAAGTGTTTTGCGCCACAACCACTAAACAGTTACTAAATGAGGTGTATTTATACAAAACATGTTGACTTAAAGGAAGTTAATTCACATGCTTTATTAAATAACATTATTACAACAGGCCTAGAAATGCAACAAAGGCAGTGTTCGGAAAAATAAATTAATTTTACAAAATGTTAAAACCGAAAAACACGCAATAGAAAAACCTACAGGAGCTCAAATCCGACTCAGTCATCTGAGATGGACAGAGAGATCTTCAGAGAAATAAAACTTCAGAATATTTTGTCAAAACATCACATGTTAACTAGATAGCAAGAACTAAAGCCTCTCCTATTCCAAAATGTTACACTTGTTACTCTAACAATGCCTGATAACTTTATGCTTCAAAATAACTAAAATATGGACTGTTATGTAATACAGACTTAATACCTGTTGTCTGTCAAATAAAAGCAGTTTTCTTTTTTTAAGCTATCAGTTATTCTGTGAGTGTGTTTTTGAGATTGTTGATATCTGAGTGTACTTCTCGTTATGGCCTTCTGGTATTTGAAATACAGACCACTACACAGCAATACAATACAATGCAGCACAACAAACCCAAAACACAGTTTAACATCTTTTAATGGTGCTGGAAATATTGAAACACCTTAATCATCCAGGTGTACCATCATTCCCTCTGTTAAAGTGCGTCTGTCTGGGATCCACACATATTCCTCTGAATTACAGACACAAATACCAGGAATCTTATGTGCCATGCCAGATCTGATGATAATATGAAACCAACTTTGTTTCTTACTCCTGGAGTGAATCACATGGCCATAAAGGCAACAGCGCAACAGCAGGTATTGTTACATTCAAGGAACCGTCATTTGTTATCGCCATCCATCACAGGAAGTGTCGAGGGCGAGTCCAAAGAAAAGAGTTGTTCTGTTGTGAGCGTGGGCGTGCCGCATACTGGTTTCAGTGTGAGAAGACAACTGGGGATCTCTCTGTTATTCACAGGCAATTTTGCCATCAAAGCTGGAGAGTGCGATGGCAAAGGCCTGCACGGCACACATCGGGTAGTTGAAGTCCAGTGTGAAAATGTCATCAGCTATTCGGCCAAACTGCATCACAATGTAGTCCACTGAAAAAGGGAATGAATTGTTAAATTATGTAGGTTGGTAGATACATATATACATAATAAATATTCATTTATTTTAACCTGCTACAAGAAGTTTTTTAACTGGTTATAAAACAGTCTCAATTGAATATTGATACACAACATTGTTTATTATTTGGTTGATCACCAGAGTCAGTAGGATTTGTACTCTGGGGAAAACGTATGTCTGTACAAAAGTTCATGCAATCCTTTCAATAGTTTTTGAGATTTTCAGTCTGGACCAAAGTGTTGGACTGAACATTGCCATCCCTAGAGCCATGCTGCTAGTGTGGCTAAAAATTACAATATTATTTACCAGCACATAGAACATTTTGTTACTATCTCTTGTGCTGTACTATCAAGGCTAGAACTAATAATCCTAACCTAACAACAACTTCTTTTTCAAGCAGCTTTTAGTCACTTACATGTACAGTAATTGGGTCGTAATTTCTTCTGATTAGACTAAAGTAGGTAATATTGAACATTTTCATGTAGGGTTTTGATGTAACAGAAATCATTTTTGATATTTAGTTTTATTTTTTAGTCTAAAACTGTAGCATTACACAAACAATGATACAAATTTGGATGCTTTATTAATGAGTGCCTTGAGAAACAGGGTTTTTAAATGTAAACCCGTGTCAGAGAAAATTAAACAGATAGTTCATCCAACTAAATGATCTTTGTTGTTTTACAAGGTTTTATTTCTTTGTGAATTTTGCAGTAAACTGTTTTGTATTTATTCGTCTGGTAACTTAACATCAGCTGTAGTTGAGATCAAACGGAAGAGCTTGTCTTCATATATAGATGTAAGTACTCACAGTCTTTACTATGGACTATCTGGAAGTTTTTAATGGAGGCCTGGGTGACCCTGCCGTTGAAGTTGAGCACATGAGAGGAAGTTTCTTCGTTCCACACAGGCGTCTTGTTATGAAGCTCGATTATATTGTCCATCCTCCTACTCTGGTGCCTTATCAACAAGCCGTCACAGTCCTGTGAAGAATTGGCAAAACATATGTCAGGAAAACACCATGAAAGAGTAATAAGACTTTACAAGATGGCCTTGTATTGCTCTCATAATAAACAGACAACATACCATAAATCAAGCTGTGATCAGTATGCATATCATTTGTTGACATTGTGCATAGCAATGGATTCTGGGATGCCTGATTTTGCTAATGAGTCATCTGAGGGTTGCACACACATGAATCAACAGGTCAAATTATCTACAGCTGGAGGTGGCTACTTGATAATCCAATGTATACACTTTAGCTAAAAGCTAAAAATAAACAAGCATGACAGATAAATGCAAACATGTTTTGGTTTTTTTTTGGATGAACTGACATTCAATAAAACAGGACATACTACAGTATGAGTAGCTATGCACACTGGGCATGTGAAGATTTCTTTTTTTAAATCCTATTTTTTTTTCTTTTTCATTATACTTTTTTCTTTTTGTCTTAGGTAACTATATAACATGACCAAGGTTGGACTTTTGGAGTTGTTTTTTGTGTGGTTGCATTTATAAGGGCACAAAACCCCTTACTATGTATTAATTTATGTTTTATGTATTCTGTACTTATGTTCTACTCAAAGCTAGAAAATAACATTAAAAAAAAACCATTTATCTCACATTTCTTGGGCGGAGAGGTACTCGCTCGTTGTCCTTGCTCATTCCTGGAATGAGAACCGTCATCCTTCTGGGCCCTTTCATCCCTAAGACATTTGTTTCCTAGTGCCAAAAACAAGTAAAATCAGGATTTCCAAATTTGACCACTTTTGTTTTTAAATCCAACGTGCCCGGAAACTGTATTTATAAAAAGCAATGTAGATCATTTATGATGAGCTGACTAATAACTTACATAGATGATGCCTGCTAACTCCTGTCGTGCATTAGACATGTCTGGAAGAGCTCTGTCTGGATGCAGAGCATTATCAAATACGGTGAACTTAGTCCCCATTAAATTGGACCTAGACAACATATTACAGAATAAAAACTCACAGTAAACGAAAACTTGGCAAATGCAACACATTTTGTTTCCTGCTTTTGAATAAATGAATACATTATTTTTGAAGTGCAATGTACCTCAGTTTTCCAACAAAGTTCTCTCCCCCTCTTGATAAATCTGTGGCATCAATGGAGATGAGGTAATTTGAAGTAGCGCTTTTCTTTCGTTTCCTCCCAGCCAACAAGAATGTCTGCACAGCAAAAAAAAGACAAGTAGTCCTGTTAGATTTAAAGAGAGGACGTTAAAGTGCACAAATCTCTAAAAATGTCAATTATAGTACTAATTAGACTAATTTAATTAATGGAACTACTGATGGCTCTGTTTTACTTCCCTACTAATGGTGTGTTTGTTTTTGTTTGAGTCTGAACCTGGACACTCGATACATGAGGACATAAATGGAGCAAGGCCTGCGAGCTAGTTTAGGCAGTCAACTCGAGCTGCACTGCTATACACACATGACATGCCTCACTCTCCTTAATTACAAACCAAGCACACACTTCCAATATTACAAAATTTCCCAGCTCTCCCTCTGCCCTGTCAATGCAGCTGCTGCCCTGCATCCGTATGACTGCCCTGTCGTTCTGTAAGCCCCACCACCACCCCAGCATCCACCTGTAGGCTCTGGCTAAGGGGTTTAAGGTATTCGCTCATCACTCCCCAATATCTCTATGTAAACATACTTGCCGGGAGCGATGAGGTCGGAGCCTAGACTCCAAAATCGAACTGTTATATTGCTGTAATCAACATTTCAAACGTGAGTTGTCTGACTGAACTGTTGCTCTGTTTTAAAAACATATGGATAAAAGTATCTACTAAATCCCCAAACTGCAATAAAGATAGACCTGACCTTTTTTTCGTTGTCAAGATGAAGGTAATATAGAGGGTAGAGGCTCTTATCCACCCCCCTCTGGTCTCGAGTCACTCTGCATTTGACAGTCACGCCCTGCGGAGCCGGCTGCATCACAAACTTCTCCAAGTCGTCAAACTCAATTTCAGGTGAAGGAGATCTCTCCTGGTAAAGAAGGATGAAAAAGTTCATTTTGATTGAAACCATGAATGTTTAACTTCTCACACATTAAATGACTGAAATGTCTGTGTGGGATTTGAGATACCTTTTTCTTTTTCCCTTTGCCCTTTTTCTTCTTTGATTTTTCTTCCTTTTCTGACTCATCTGAATCATCACTGTCTTCTGCCTTTCCTAAAATAGAAAACAAAAATTGTTAAGATACTTGTCAGTGGCTCAAAAGGAAGACAAGATAGTGGTAAACCTGCCTTTCTTCTTTGTCTTCTTGTCTTTGCCCTTGTCTTTGTCTTTGCCCTTGTCTTTGTCCTTGTCCTTGTCCTTGTCCTTGTCTATTTGGAACATGGATGCTGAGCCGGCCGTGGATTTCTTTTTTGATTTGGTTGACTTCGTCTCCTCTTCACTCTCATCACTGTCTGATTTGGCAGCTGCTCAGGGAAAGAGGTGTAAAGATTTTCGATTGAATTTCCTATGTGTAAGAACTCTCACTAAGCAATAACACCACAGTTGTTATGGTCTAAAATAAGGTCAACATTAGCATCAAGACACATACTGTACTGTAAAGTCAGTTAAGATGTGAAGTCTAATTTGCAATAAAGGAGGTTCAATGGCTTATGGGCCAACCACAAGGTTTTAAGGTGTGACAAAATCAAACTGTAATCACCTTTCTTCTTGCCCTTCGATTCTTTTTCTCCGTTTATCTGGAACATTGAAGCTGGTTCTTTCTTCTTGTCCTTATCTTTTGATTTGGACTTTTTTTCTTTTCCATCAGAGTCTTTGTCCTCTAAAAAATGAGAAACAAGTAAAAATGTAAAAAAATGTTGTCTGTCCTTGAATGTGATACCAAACTGGAAAATAGTGTGAACTCACACTGAGGAATTCAATCATTTTCAAAGCCAAATAACATACATTTCATTCCTTTATGTATTAGTTGACTTGGACAGAAGTAGTGAGAAGTAGTCGTAGAAAAGTAGTGTATTAATCAGCAAGTAAGGATTTAAAACAGGGACAGATTTGTAAGAGCAGAACAAATTTTGAGCATGCAATCCTGATTTTGTGTCTTCAGTTTGGAATTGCTCTCACTGTTTCTTACAGCCATTTTTGTCAAGTTCTATACATGAGTGGGATTCATGTTTCACCAAGACCCGCCCATATCTGGCTGCTAGCTTCATGTTTGTGTCATGTCTTTTACGGTTAAGTTTTTAAGTTAAAAGCAGAAGAAGCACACTGACATTACTTGCAGATATTTGCTCACATCTCAGTCGGAGTTGACATGCAAGAGATACAAACCTCCAAAACCGAAAGTAGATACCTTGGAAAATATTTAGGCAAAAGATGCCAAATTTCTCAAATCTAGCGGCACAAGACTTGTAACCTCAAAACCTCGATTACATTTTCGATACTGTCAACACCCACAAAGACGAATCAGTCACAGCACGCTGTCATATCTCGACTTGCTGACTGATTACTGCTAAAAGGTGTCCGTGTTTTGGCATTATTGAACTTCAGGAATTGAAAGCATGTGGTTAAAAACCTGCTTAGGTAAGCACTTTAGAATTCTCAAAATATAACAAGTCACTTATAAGGATGGCTTTGACAGGTTAGTCTAAATGTTAATTAGTGTGACTAAAGATTTATTTTAAGAGTTGTGTGTCTGACCACCTGATGAATGTATGCCCATGCTGACTTTTATTTTAGCCCTGTTTTACATCTAACATAAAAAATCTGTCTCATAAGCTGCTAAATGATCCATTTTGTTCACCAACTAGTTGCTAAATTTGTCTGCCTGCTGTTTGGTCCTGGGCAAAAAAAAAAACAGCTGCCTGATGCAGCCCAAAATGATATTACCAGACCCTTGAGAGTGAACCAAAAGTCTGTTGTGGGCCATAAAACAAAAACACGAGTTGTAAGATGTTTAAAGAACTCTGTAGCGTGGAGGGAAACTCTCACCCATCACTATGACCCTTTCCCACACAAGTAGTCACACTGAAATAAAATAAAATGATGACTTCACAAACATTGATATTGTAAACTGTACTGAAGAGAAGACTAGGAAAAGAGTAGGAAAAAATCCTGCCATAGCTATCATAAAGTAGGACACTGATATAATCAAATCCATTTCCATGGACACCATAAACACAGCACCTGTCTGTCCTTTACTTTACAGGAGGAAAAGGGAGCCACAAACACAAGTTGGAGCAGGTATTCCTGAAATGATTGACAGCTGATCTGAGGTGAAGCAAGGTTAAGTTAAGCTCAGAGGCAAAAGCTCTGGAGGTGATCCAACCAAATTAATAGAAAAGAGCAGTAACACTCTGGGCTGTATCATATAGTATTTCAGTATTTCAGTATTGAAAAATAGCTCAATTTCAAATTAAATGTCTGCACTTACGCTCACTTCTAGCTAGAGTCAATGGAATAATGAGGTACACACATCAGTAATTTTGCCTCCCCACACTGTAGAAGACAGGTTTGTCACATTCGTGTTGTTTAATTAGTGCAACCAAACTAGACTAGTCCACAGCCGGTCAAAGAGAACAACCACTTGGCAAAATCAGGATGTGCGCGCCATCTTTAGCAAGCTGACATTTGACATTAACCATTAAGAACAACTGAAACTGCTGAGAATGTCATTAGTTTTGCAGGTATTCGGTCATAAACCAAAGTACAGGACCAATTAAAATTCTGACCTGATGATGCCGCTAAATGAAAAGTCACAATTCATCCTGGGGGGACCGTGAATGTCAGTACCACATTTCATGGGATTCCATCCTGGAGATATTTCTGTCTGGACAAAAGTGTCCAAGGTTTATTGAGTCTTTCAAAGTCATAACTTAGCAAGCTAGTTTGCTAATCAGTGTTTTCTAATTAGGGTTATATTAACTAAGAATGTGTTAGACAGTTTGGAAAAACAAATGTCAAGTGTCTGACGTAATTTCCTTCACATCTCCTGCAAAGTCAAAGTACAACAAAAGGCTACAGATAAAATCTGGCCAAACAGTTCCAATTTTAACTGTAAATTTTAAGTAGAATTAAAAAGAAAATTGTCAAGATTTGACCCTTGCAGTCATTTTAATTACATTTTCCACAGCTGATTACTTAAGGGCAAGCTACTCACTTGATTGCTGTGTTTTGTTGCCTGTGCTACCAAGTCAGTGTTTCCACTCAGTCACCATTACACAATAAAATCATCTAATCCTCTTAACAACATTAGTCTGCTCTTATAACTGTTGTTTAGATCACACGGTTAATGCCTTTAGAAAACTGCTTTCCTGCTTCTAGCCATACCTTTAGATTTAGATTTCTTTTCTTTGGCAGAACTTGCAGATGGAGAGTCTTTTGTTGTCTTTTTCTTAGTCTTCTTTTTGAGGGTGTCTTCATCATCATCATCATCGTCATCGTCTGTGCCCGAACCTAAAAAGATGTAAAACATATTCATTAGTTTGCTTTTTTCAGGGTTTATTTACAAAATACTTAATTAAGATATTATTGGTGTGTAATTTAATTCATGTTGAGTCTTAAAGGTTTAAACACATCACTAATGATGCACCTTTCTTCTTTTTTGGAGCACTTTTGGCTTTCTTTTTTGGCTCTTTCTCTTTTTCTTTTTCCTTTTCTGGTTCTTCTTTATCTTTTTCTGGTTTCTTTTTCTTCACCTTCTTTCCATCTGTAATGTTGATAAGGAATTGTCAGTGTAACCATCTGATTAGATCACAGTAGACACAGAGAATAATGCAAATGTCGCAATTTGTCATCTGCTTTCTTCACAGGAAATGCTTAAAATATCACAAGTCTCTGTAAAGTTTCTCACTTTGGATGGCAGGATTTTCCTCTTCTGATATTTCTTCACTTTTCTTGGTCTTTGTTTTTTTGGGCTTGGCTTCTTTTCCATTCAACTTGGCTTCAGTTGTGCCATTTGCCTCCTCTTTCTTCTTCTTTGGCTTCTATGGATTTTCTTTAAAGATTAAAAAAAAAAGATTAGAGCTGAGACTCATGGAAGGAAGGACAGGAGAGTAGAGAAAAGAATCCAAAGACTGGACACAATAAAATCTGGGAGACAGAAAAAAATTTTTAATCTTGGAGCATTCAAAGATCTTTATCAATAACAATAACTCACCAATACAAAGTCAGATGTGAAGCAAGGGGTAGAAAAGAAAAAAGAAGATTTAGATAGAAGAACTATAATCACTAGATTACTCCTTCTACAGCTAATAAGAATGCCTGAAAATAGTATATAGTGTATAGTAGAATAGTATATAGTATATATAATAATTTATAAATTTAAATTCAATGGTTGACATTCAATCTCAGTTCAGCAATAGAGAATAATAAATAGGTTAAGCTTCTGACAAAGCTGTATGTTAATTTGCTGATATCGGCTTATGGTTTAGGTACAGGAAGTGAATAAAGCAACACAGCATGAGGTAGCAAAAATCGATTAATCTATAGCTATTTTTGATAATACAGTTTTGTAACACACAAAAAAACAAAACAAGTTTTGTAACTGTTTTATGTAACTTGCTCAGGCCTCCTCCTGGGTACTAACAAACCCTATATTAACACATCCCAATCACAGTAAAAAAACACACTTCACACACTTTAGAGAACACAAGATAGCAAATCTTTTACTTCATGAATTAAATAAAGGAACCACAGAGGAGAATATAAGAAGTCAAAAGGTGTTAACAAAAGCAATTTTTTTCAAAGTTAGCTTAGTATAAATGTAAGCTCTTTCTTGCCTGTTGTATTTAAAATAAACATATTTTGTCTAAATGTACATAATCATAAGTCTCCAATTTGCTGTTCTTTCCTGCAATATAAGCTTTTATCTGGGCCGTAAACACACAAGCTTAAGGTGAAGTCAAAAGGGGGCTCGAACCCCTGACCCTTTGTCCCCACATATCCGTCCATTTATGTGTTTTTACATGCATTTGTCTGTATGACGATTTTTGTATACCAGAAATTTCAAATTAAACAGTCAAATGTATAAATGTTTTAGCTAATAAAAAGGGAACCAACTTGTGTTTTTACGAAACATTTAATAAGTGTGAGGAGGCTGATGACTAATCCTTTGTACAAAGTGACATGAACAACGTGTCACTGTCTCGAGTCACACAGAAGGAGGTCAGTGTGATTGCGGCCAGCGGAGACAGTAAAGGTAATCCTATTAGATGTAGATCCTGCATCGATGGAGGTCTATTTATATCCACAACTCAGAGAAGAGTGTTGTGTTCAAGTTGTTAACATTTTATTTTATACTCTACCCAAAATTAGCATATTTATCTATTAAACTATTTAACTGTTGAAAAAGGCTAGTTTATTTATTTATTTTTTTCTTTGTTAATTTCTGTCCGCTGTACTCAAAACTTAAAAAAGTCATAAGAAAACTTTTTTGCCGTGCTGCTCCCACAGAGCATTTTCAAATGCTTGGTTATTACACCAGTAAAATAATACATTTTTAAAACAATGTATCTGAAATTATCAGTATCAGTTATTGCAATTCACTGAGAAGATTTGAATTTAATGAACAGATTGATGAAATTATGATCCAATAATTACTTCAATATGGTGTAAAACATACATTTGACGATGCAAGATTTGCTTGACTATTAGATAAAAAAAGTTGATGAATTGCTGAGTCATATGTTAATACCCAAAAAACCCTTTCATAGTAAACAGAATAGACATTAAAGAAGGAAATGGCATAAGG